TACTTCATTCACTATAAACAAGGGCTCTGATACCAATCTGTCACACCCCGAAAACCGAAGGCGGAAACATTTTCAGGGTTGACTCCACGTTGAGTATCAAATCCAATGCACATAGAAAGTAAAGTAAAACAACCACTACATTACATAAAGAAAAGTTTTACAATTGTTTCAAAAGTAAAGTTGTGCAGTTGTGATACATAGTATATTTATATGAACAAAATGAAACGGATCTTCTGAGTACTCCGTCTTTGAACAAAAGGATCTTCGGGTACCTGTTCTAACGCTGACCTGAGAACACAAGCGGTTTGAAAATCAGCATAACGCTGGTGAGTTCATAAGCGGTTTTTGTTTGTGAAATGTTCAAGTTTCCTTTCTGTTTCTGAAATGTTACGTACACCAAGAAAATCCCATATTTTCTTAAAAAGGTTGGTTATTGTTTGTCAACATGTAAAGTAAAGTTGTACACTGAAAACATGTTTACTCTTGTGTAAATCTACAGTCAGGTTATCTGGTTTGACATATTGTCCTGGTTATGTACCAATGTATTCCCAGGAAAGTCCCATACTTTCCTGATTGTGTTACCAATTGGGAAAGATGTAAAGTTATCCGGTTTGTTACCTTTTTCTGGTTATGTAAACGTTTCCCCAGGAAAGTCCCATACTTTCCTGAATGTTGGTTATCAGTGTAAAAGATGTATTACGTTATTCATTATTACTATTGAGTAAATCTCTGTTATCCTAATTGCGAGTTCCATAACCATACGATAGACTAGATATGGCAATAAGTAGTCCACATCACCTTATGACCTTCGTCACCCTTGAACCATTTCGGTTCGGCTGTAGCTAGCAGCCATGTGTGGGGTAGTCAGCCTCGTATAGATCTATACACTCAAGTCACGCTCTCTAAATCCCAGAGATTCTGGTTACAGGTGCACTCCTCCACTCGCGTATCTCTGTGGAGTGTTCGCCGAGGATGTGTCTCCAATCATACAGGACTAACAAATTTACTAGTAATAATATGATAATCCTCCACTCACGTATTTCTGTGGAGTGTTACCGAGGACAAAACAGTGTACAGGTGTTATGTTCAAATGTTCTAATGTCATGCTTTTAACTGATAAAATGTGGAAAACCATTTGTGAAATATAAGTAAAACGTAACAGTTTAAAATCCATTTCACAAATATATGTTTACGTGATCTGCATGTTCTAACGGTTATCAGTTGTAGCAATCAATGTTAAAAGCATATAAGATGTGAAACACACATATGGAAACATGTTTTGAGTACAAGTAATCCCTTGTACTTTGCTTGTGTCCCCCCCCCCTGAAAACAGTGAAAACAGTGAAAAAGGGTAGGGGTATGAACTCACCATACGAGAAGGCGCAACTGTTTCGGACACTAAACGTTGGTTCAGGGCTTGTTAACACGCGAGGTTCCTATGTAATATGAAATGGTATCCAAAGGTATCTAATTAGACTTTAAACCACTAATTAGATAGGATAATACACTCCAATGAACTAAAACACCTCAAAACAAGTGTTTGGAGTGACCCGGGTGACATCTTCGGACGTGTAATGATGCGAGGGACTTGGGAAATGAATTTTCTCCTCAAGAGAAAACTTCCTAATGAAGTTTTCGTCTATATACCCCTACATACATGAGTTCATGGCCATGAACTCATGTTTGGGTGGTTTTGAGTGTCTAATGGCTTGAATGGACATGGGGAATGCTAGAATGGATTTATGAAATGCCTTGGATTAATTTGTATGGACTTATACACCATTTATGGGAGTTCACGGCTGTAAACATGGCGTTTACGGCCGTAAACTCCCCCAAGCTCAAACCAAAATTAATTTCAGGTGCTTAGGACAATCACATGTGATTCTAGTTAATTTTCCAAGGCTTGGTATGACTTTAGGGCACCATTTAACACATAATTAGGAGTTTACGGCCCTGGAGCATGTGCTATGGCCGTAAACTCTCAAATGGATGATGTTTGATGTGTTTAAGGTCTCCAAACTATTTTTAGATGGTTCTAGGATTTATTCCAAGGCTATTGGTGAAGTTACAAGGCATTCTAACATGTTTAAAAGAGTTTTCTCCCCATGTTTGAGGAGTTTACGGCCCAAGCACATACCTTGGCCATAAACTCATGTCAATCCCTCAAAATCCAAGTTTAATGTGTTCCAAGTCCGGTTTTGTAAGCCTCAAGGTCATATCTAAGTCCCAATGTTGATTTGGAAGGGTTAAATTGCTCAAAAACCCCAATATTATGTGTTTATGGCCCAAGCTTACTCCTTGGCCGTAAACACATGTTCCATGTCCAAAATGATAGATTAAACACGAATTTGAAGGCCTAAGAGGTTACACAACAAGTTAGGAATGTTACCTCAAAGATTTGGAGCCTTAATTCAATGTTTTGGACCTTGAATCTTTGGATGAGGAGAGAGGTTAGAGAGAGAGTAGTGAGATTAAGCCAAAATCTTCAAATGAAGGCTTAGAACACTTTATATAGTGTCTAAGTTTTGGACACGGAAGAATTTGACCCGATACCGGCGTTAGACGGGGCTTTTGGTCGCACCCGATTAAGTTGTCGTAACCCGATATGGTAAATTCTTAAAAAAAAATGTTCTGATTACTAGAATGGGGGTGTTAGAATGATTTCTAAATGCATTAGGACACCCATTAAGTCATATTAGATACGTACAAATTAATGACTTAATTAAATAACAAAATCGGAATCAGATTTGAACACGACGATTGGTTGATCGAATTGAATTACGAAAAGAGTTACAAGTAATGATACGGAATTTCGGGTTGTTACAGTATCAAAGGCTTGGAATTTGGAAGTATATTTAAATAAAATTTTAAACAAAGAACAAAAAGATGAAAAATGAATTTTTCAGATTATCAAATACATTAAGAAAATAGCCCCTTTAAATCAAATAATAAAGATCTTGGAAGTTGGAACGTCAAAACAATAAACAATTGTCATTTATCAAACACATTAACAAAATGGTTAATCTTAGTGATTAGAAAACAAATTCAAATAACAATGAACATTGGAAGTGATTAATTAAACAGAGTTACAAAGACCTTAAACCAAAGACGAAAGTTGTACAATTTTGAATTGAGAATTGTACAAACCAGTTGGAGTGTGAGTCTGGTCAATCGGTGGTGTCCTAGGAAGAAGGCGGGGAGGCTGGTGGTCGGCCGGAATCGATTAGTTGAGTGCACTGAGAGCGTTTAGCATATCAATTGTGACTTTCACAGTTTAATATTTCATAACTTTTTGCATTTTCTGTTTAATTACAAATTTTTAATGAGTCATTGTTTTTTTTTTTTTTTTTGCTAGACAAAGATGAGATATTTGATTGGGTAGTGAAATATAAATTTTAGGTTTCTATTTTTTATTACTTTTTTTTTTTGCTCCTTCTAAATACTATCACTCAAATTTTGTAAGATGGGTCATAATTTTTTTATTAAATAAATCTCTCTATTAAACAATCTTATCAAATAATAGTCAACATTATGTATTTTCTAATGACATTCATTCGATCAATGAATCCATAGTCATTCACGGTTATTCTTCCACCAAGTTATATTTGGGATTACATAAAGTTAAAAAGAAAGTTTACACTCTTTGATACCTATATTTGACCTAAATGATGAAAGTATTGATATTTTTGAACCCACACATGGAGCCATGTAGGTATCCAAAGCTAATCATCATAAACAATATATTTTACATATATTTTATGGTTGTAAATATTATAATATTTCTACACTTATAATTTTTATTACTATGTTATTCAACAAAGTATTTAGATCATGGTGTAATTATGGAAAGACGAATCTATTAGAGGTAATAGAATGACGATAAAGAAAACTGTTTTCTATGTTGTGGTTATAGGAAGGTTGAGCTATCTGCTTTACAAGAAGCGCCATAAAGTTACAAACATCTTTTTTCGTTCCATAGATTCTAAAAGCAAATACTTCATGAAAAACATTCGTCGTTACAATTCAATGTTTCCATTTATGTTAGTCAATAGGTGAGAAAGTTGATTCATTCATTAATAGATGAAATGCATTATATATATCCAGACTTGGCGGTCAAAATTATCATAGTATGAGAAACCCTACCCCAACTAATGGGTGTCAACCAAGATTTTCACAACTATACATATATAATACCGAAAATAAAAGCCAAATAGACAGACTTGTTTTAGGTATATTCACACTAGATATTACTAAGTATTATTACTTTAACAATATTAATTTTATACTAATCATATATATATATATATATATATATATATATATATATATATAATAAATTTTATTTGCAGTGAAGAAAACTATGCCTCTACACTGACTTATGATTTAGATAGATGATCTTCGAATTATAGAAGATTTGAAGTGGAGAAAACCATGCTTCTACACTGACTTATGATTTAGATAGATGATCTTCGAATTATGGAAGATTTGAAGCTTACGTCAGATTCAAATAATAAGTTGGTTAAATGTTATAGGATGGTTAGAGAACTTTTCATGCAAATCCTCATGTTGACATAAACTTGTGAATTATTGGAAAAAGACAACAAGATGGAAGGGTATATAACTTTTAGCCTTTTTAAAATCACATAACAATCACACGTCGATAATGTTCTTAACAATATATTTAAAATAATCGATTAATGGTTGACTTTTAACTTTCAGTTTTCAATTAAATTTGTAACCTTGGTTATAACGTAAAATAGTTCTAAAGCCCTTTCATTTTTCTATTTTCTCGAGACATTTTTAGTAAGTTTCTCTGTAATCTTCAAATTTTACATAATATTTTTTCAAAAAGAGCCTCAATTTTTTCGAAAAAAACTTTCATTTTTTTCAGGAAAAAACTTTCATTTTTTTCAGGAAAAAACGATGTCTTATATAGTTCTCAAACATTAAAATTTGAAGGAGACATTTGATTAATAAAAAACAAAGTGAAAAGATGTGGTGTCCAATTCTTGTATTTGAGAAGTGTCACGAAACAACACATGGTACAACTAGAGACGTCAAAAAGTCTTGTAAGACCCTGATTCCTTATGGTGGTATTTGTTTAAAAAAATAAAGTGCAGAGGCTAATGATTCGGATTTTTTTTTTTTTCACAAAAAGATATTTCCATTTAAAGCATTTGTAAAAAAAATACTCAAATTACCTTTTCATAACTTTTACTCGTATGACATTTTCAAAACATCAACTAACTCTAAAATCACCAGTATTACACCACAATTATGACTGACTACAAGGGTGCCCATTGTCTCACAACCATCGAATAACGAACCCAAAAATCTTTTCTCCAACACAATCACGAATTCATTCAACTCAAACTCACAACTCATCTTTCTCATCACTTCCTCCACCCATAAGTTCTTCAAGTGAAAACTCATCCTCTTCAATAATCTCCCCATCTTTTCCATCCCACGGTTCCGTTTTCACAACCACAGGTGTCCCTTCTAATGGAAGGTTACCTTTTCCACCAAGTCCCGCCATTTTCACAAACTCAATAATTTGGTCTTTTTCAAATGCACTTCTAAGTGGTGCATACGCGCCTTTTTTAATGTTTAAAGCTACCAAAGCCGGATACCCGTAGCCACCAACGCCTACGTGCTTCTCGAGTTCCGCTTGTTTACCTGCCGCGGCCCATACGTAGCTGGACCGCAATTTGAGCGGTTAATATGCAAGAAATAGCAATGTACTTTCATTTTGTCTGTTTGTTGAATTAAATGCAAGAAATAGAAATGTACTTTCATTGCTTTACCTAATTATTTACTTTGTTTATTGAATGTAAGAAATGGCAATGTATTTTTATCTAAGTAATTTGCTATGTCGTTTTTACAGTGTTTTATGCAGAAAAGTCTCATTATTTTAGGAAAATTTTTAAAAAATTTGAAGAGAAAAGTCCAGATTATTTAACTTTACACGATCATCTGTTATTTCCTTTTAAAATAAAAATAAGGAGTTTTTCGATGATTGGGCAAAATATTAAATAATCGGGACTTTTCTGTTCAAAATTTCATTTAAGGATTTTATAAAAACATTTCCCAAAATAATGGGACTTTTCTGCATAAAACCCTTATAATTACTTTATTAAATGCAAGAAATTACAATTTACTTTTGTTATTTGTTTATTAAATGCAAGAAATAGAAATGTACTCTCATTGCTTTACCCAATTACTATAATTGAGTACATTGTTCAAAGTACAACGTACTCTTTAACCTACTTGTATTGCTGATCATTTTTCGAGTAAATTATAAATTTGGTCCTTGTTCTTTAACTAAAATCGCAAGTTCAGTCCAATATTTGAAATTGTCCTAGTATCGTCCTTAAGTTTGCATTTTGTTGCAGATATGGTCCCTAATGACTTTAAATTTTGGACTAAGTTTGTGATTTTGATTGAGTAAAGTACAGGGACCATATCTTCAAGGAAATGCAAAGTTAAGGACGATATTGGGACAATTTCAAAATTTAGATTGAAATTGAGATTTTGAGTGAAGCATAGCCACATAGGGACCAAATCTGTAATTTACTTTTATTTTTATTTGAGTAAAATGCTATAATCAGATTTTTATACCTGTAAGGACTCCTTTTGAACTTTTCAGCAACTGATAGAAGCATCTCTATATACTTATTCCTTCCCTCAGCCTTAGAGTCCAAAATATCAGGGAGGAAGGAAACAAAACAGATAGCAGCCGAACCACATTTCTCTTCCATCACATCCTAAAATGGAAAATTCATGATTTTTCAAGGGGCAAAAAGGGAAATCATGAAAAATTATAAAAAAGGATTCGAAAAACTCACTGAGCTAGTCAACTCGGTCACTTCAGGAGGAGCAACATTTGTTTCTAGCTGAACAAGGGCAAATGATTCAATTGCAGATGCAGTTCTTGCTCCTTCATATGTGATTGGACTCTCTTTATCTGCACCAAATACTAATATAGTTGGGAACCCTTGTACCTTAAACCTGCTCATTAAAGACTGAAAGAAAAAAAAAACATAATCGATTAGAAATAATAAAAAATAATAATAATGGTTTAGATAAAAAGAAGAGAAATTCAAGAATACCTTTTCGTCATCACAGTTCACATGTCCAAGCTTCACCTTTCCTTGTAAATTCTTTGCAGCCTTCTTCCATTCAGGTGCAAGCTTTTTACAGTGTCCACACCTAAATATATATATATATATATATATATATATATATATATATATATATATAAAGTTATAAAATTTGTGAAATTTATAAATAAGAAAGTAAAGAAACAAATTGGAGTATGAATTTATGTTCAAGAGTGGAATGATTAATTACCAAGGTGCAAAGAATTCAACCACCCAAAGATCTTTACTTTTAACAACCATTTCATCAAAATTATTTGAAGTGAGTTCAACTGATAGATTTGGCTCTGATTTCTTTTCACTTGATTCAGTAGTTGTAGTTTTTCCACTTAATCTGTCTTTAAGGAGTGCTTTCACTTGTTTGAGTGCAAATTCTGCTATTGGTTTTGCTTCTCTAGCTCCTTGGTAGTCAACAGGAGGTTTTCCAGGGACAAAGACTTTGATAGTTGGAAACCCTTTGATACCATATTCCTGTAGAAAGAGATGGTGAGGTGTTAGAAATTAGGGTTTGTATAAAAAGATCAAATGATGATTTAAAAAGATTTACCTGAGCAATAGTTGGGTTTGCATCAGCATCAATGGCTGCAACAGTTGCTACACCTTTTAAGACAGAAGCTGCTTTTTCCCATATTGGTGTTAAAGCTTGACAGTGTCCACACCATGGAGCAAAGAACTCGACTAGGACAACACTGTTTGAATTTACAACCTAACAACGTAGAAAGATTAGGTATAATGCTTTATATCAGGGAAATATTGTTGTAGCAGCAAGGATAAAGGCATTAAAGTTGGATTTCTAACTAAAGAGGAAGTTGATCACGTGAGGATGAACATATGGAGATAAGTATAATCGAGCCCTGTTCTATAAATTGCTTGTTTTATAGCATTACACAAAGTGAAGAAAGGGGAATTTTTTATAGCAACTGTTATTTCTAGACAATATAGCCAAAATGCCTTCCTAAAGGTAGTAATTTGCGAAAAAACTTGAATGGATGGAAATTCAATTGGAACTGAGTATCTAGCATAGCTGCCACAAACAGCTTCAATTGATTACTTCGCAAATCAACACATGAAAGACCGATATATTTTGAGATTATTTCTCACTTGTAAGTTCTCTCCATTCAGTAATATGCTTAGAATTTAGAAGTCATTTCGTAGTCTTCAAATTACTGTAAACAATTGTAGACATTCTCGGAACAAGTTTTAACACACACAAATATATAAGAAATCTGATCTGAAGATCAATAACAAAATGAAGATAAAAAAATTGGAACACATCATTTGTAACGAGAACTAATATAAAATCAGTATTATTCAAATTATTCGTAATTGAATCAACAGAATCTTAAAAATCGACATTGATTCGGTTACCTTAGACTTGAAATTAGAAGGAGTGAGCTGAAGAACAGGTGATGATGATCCGTAGAATGCATCAACGAGATTTAAATTTGAGCTAGCTGATAACAAGAAGAAAGAAATCAAGATCAACACTTTCGCAGAGCGATTCATGCTTTCTATTACACTGAATAAACGCACAGTGGAGAAGTGACGAATGGAAAACGAGGAAGAAACCTTGCGGGCGCAGAGTAGAAAAACCCCTTCTTATGTTTGATACCGTGGACGGGGATACGTGTTTTAGCCAATGAAATCGATACACGTCATCTTGCCATGTAATTTGATGAGGAAACGAAACGTGGATGCCCAAGATTTGCTGAGTCTTTCTTAGGTCGCCTATGCAGGTGATTGGTCAGATTACATTTAAAAGTAAAATCAATTTTTGTTTTTTTAAATGCACAAATATTAAAAACAAAAAAATAACATATTGAGAAAAAAAATTATGTTTGAATTTTTTATTTTTTAAAAAAATTGATGTTAAATTCTTGTTTGTTCAAAGTTATTTATTTTTATTTTCTTTAAACGTGAACCAAATAATAATCTAACTCTTAGACCGGAAGAAATGGAAGGAAAGCTTCTCTTATTTTTGGTGGGTTATATCTCTCTTTTCTTCATTCTTATTTCCCTCACCTAAAAATCAAGGAGTGGAAAGGAAGTCATTCCCTTATTTTTTTCTTTTAAATAAAATTATTTTTTTTATTTATAATTTTTAAATTAATATCAAACATAAAATTTAATTAAAAATAAAAAGCATTTCATTAAGTAAAATAAAAATTACATTAACCCTAACATTTAAATAAGTAGAAAAAAAAACCGCAAAAAAAAATCAAACAAACTATAACATAGTAAAAATTATTAATTAATATTCTAATTTTATTTAAACCTAGATACGTCACTCGGAATCATCGTCGTCGTCCTCGCCTTGATCATCTGCATCATTCTCCCCAGTGTCACTCTCGTCGTCGGAATCTTCACTCTCGATGAATATATCAGAATCCTCGTCTGATTCGTCAAACAAATCATCATCGTGAGATAACTCGTGCGGGGGGTTGAATATGAGTCCTATAAATGTGATCCACCAAATCAGCACAAAGGGTCTGATGAAGGTCGTGATTGTGTACTTCTCTTCTATTCACCCAATACTCTTGTGTACCAATGGCTACTCCTTCGACATTTGGCAAAACTTCATTTCGTTGTATCGGCATATCGCTCTTCCTTCGTCTTCAAGAATCATATTATGCAATATGATACATGCATACATTACGTGTGGTAACCTTTTCACCTCATATGACCTTGCCCCGACCGTTAGTACTTGCCAACGTCTCTTAAGTACATCAAATGCTCGCTCCACATCCTTCCTAGCTGACTCTTGCGCCTCTTTAAACTTTTTCCTTTTCGGGTCGTTAGGACATGTAAACGATTTCACAAAATCAGACAAGGGAGGATATATACTGTCAGTAAGATAGTATTCACGCTTATATGCTACCCCATTTGCTTGAAAAGGTACATCGTGTGACTTTCCAAGGTAGATATCGTTGAATACAGGCGACTGGTCTAGCACGTTGATATCATTGTTTGCACCAGCTGGACCAAAGAATGCATGTCATATCCAAAGATCATGTGATGCGATAGCCTCTAGAATGATCGTCGGCTCTTTATGGTCGCCTCTCATGTACTGACCACGCCATGCATTGGGGCATAATGACCAACTCCAATGCATGCAATCAATACTACCTAGCATTCCAGGGAATCCATGTTTGCCTTCATGCACCATATACAATTGATGGATATCGTTGATAGTTGGTTTGCGCAAATATCGTTGCACATAAACCAAACAAATCGCTTTGCAGAACTTGTACACAGAGTCCCTCACGGTACGCTCTGACATCTTAAAATACTCGTCCCATTTGTCTGCACCCATGTCGTATGCTAGCTGACGAATTGAAGCCGTGCATTTTTGAATGGGAGAGAAACCTTTTTTCCCCTTGCATCCGTTTTCCATTGGAAATATGGAAAGCGGCCTTCCAAATCGCCAACAATACGTAAAAATAGTTCCTTCCTCATCTGAAACCGACGTCGAAACTTTACAGCCTAGACGATGTCATCTGCAAATAATCTTCTATAAGGCGATTGTGTCCAGCTTCGTGATTTCTACGTAACGGCGGCTTTCTTAGGTTAGGTCGTGCACGTGATGTTTCACTAAGTCTGTTTTGATAGTATGCAACCGTTTTCACCATGACGGAACCGATAAACTTAGCCTCATCTACTACCGTCGAATCGGATGATGAAGATGATGACATTTTGAGTAATATTTTTTAGAGAGAAATATAGAGAAATTTAGATTATGGTTTAAAAAAGTGATAAAATGTTTGAGTAATTATAGATTAAGAAAAGGGAAGGAAAATATATATATATATATATATATACACACACACACACACACATGTAACGGCTATACAGCCGTTTGAGTAAAAAAGAAAAAAAAAGGAAAAAAAAAACGTCGGCCAATGGTTAGAAGAGAGAGAGAGAGCGGGACTCTCTCCCCCTACTATCTTCCCGCGGTTCCTTTCCCGCACCCACGGTGCGGTGTGCACAGGTGCGGGATCGATTCCCGCTCCTTTCCCTCGTCCCACTCCGTTCGGCCTTACAAATGAATTTTTGATAAAAATGACCTATTTTTTTTTTAAAGTAACAATATTGTCTGGAACATATTGTTCCAGAGAGGTCTCCGAAATTTCAGAGTACGATTCCGGACCATGGTTCCAGAATACATTTTACTTAGTTTCCTTTTTTTCGTGTAATACGTGGTTCTTTTTTTAGTATAGGGTTTGATTTTTTTTTCTTGTAACATGTGGTTCTTCTTTTAATATAAATTTTGGTTTATATAATGTATAGGATTTGATTTTATAAAATGTATAAGTTTTGGTTTTATAAAGTGTAAAATGCAATTAAAATCAACAAACGACTAATAAATACATAAACTAAAGGGATGTGTCTTTAAGTTATATTACAAATACAATGTTCAGATAAATCTTTAACCTTGTACCCCAAAAATATTTCGCTATTCGTTTCCGATAACCCATAGCCCATGGACCGGTTTTAAGTGTTATAAAAATCAATTTCCTGGTGATCAACGTCTCCAGAAGCCAACACAAAACACCCTACAATCCCCTTTGTTGTGGTACATGTGGTGCTTTTTCAAGGGTCATGTTGAAGCTTTCAAGTGGGATTGAATCATTTGGTTCGATACCCAGGTAGTTGACTCCCACTAGCAGTTTGTGGATGCGGGCTCTCATACCTATAAACCAATCCTCATTTTCAGAATAGTAGTCGCCCTTCCAATGACTACAATTACAATATATAGCTATTTTGAATGTCTTCAAATCCAAAACACCCAAAAACCAATGAGCATGTAGTATATTTATTGGGATGTAAAGTTATAAAAAAGGTTAGAAATAATTAATTGCTATATAAATGCTCATGTATGTAATCCAAACATAATTATACCATATCACAATCTGCCCAAGTTGGGTAAACGGATCCGCCAGCCATGCACTCCAGCCAAATGTATCAATGTTGAAAGATGACGTCATAACCGTCCACCGAGCATCATCCGCTTTACAATCTAGCAACAATAAGATCCAAATCATGATGTGTTGCCAATAAATTTTTTTGCAGTAAAGTAAGTATTATTATTAGAAGCCTGGTATATAATGAGCACATAATTGTTGGATTAGGTGTCTAATCCGATAACTATAATTGGTATGTACTTGACCCGATAGTAGCATGGTCATTTTGGGTTACCTTCACCAAAGCAAATTGACTGGATGAATTATGGTGAAAGAGGTTATTTATGATTTATTAATATATTATAAGAATAATATATTAAAAGAGAAATCATATTATTTAATTGATAGTGATCAAGAGTTAATTTAGAGTTAATTTTTTGGTCAAAAGAGATCAATTAAATTAAGGAGACTCATATTGTAATTATGTGATAATTGCAAAATGGGATGATGATCCCTATAGATAGGGGTGGACGAAATCTTATGGATAGCTCATAAGGATTTCGTCAATGATAAGGATTCTGGAAGGATCTTATGGGCTGCTTAGAGCGTAAGCAACCAGATTAGGTCTTTAACTGAAACCCTAATTCTTCAGCTATATAAGGAACCCCTTGGCATCATATTTACGACTACAAGAAACCCTAGAAAGATCTTAGAGCCGATTTTGAGCCTCCTCCTCTCTCTCATATTCTCCAACATGCTTCTTGGTATTTGTGATCGATGAGATGTATTACACTTGTGATACTAAAGCTCTAAAAGGTTAAAGATCTTCAAGCTACAAAGAAAGGTATCATTCTAACTTGTTTATTATGTCAATTTCGAAATAAGCATGATAGATTAGGGTTTATAAGATTTGGATGATTATTGCATGTACAATTAGAAAAACTAGATCCAAAGCTTTAAGGATTGCATGTGCACCATAAGATTGTTGTTATAATCAAAACTCATCAGTGGTATCATAGCCTAATCTGTTTTTCTATTGTATTTGATGTTATGCTTGATTGTTCAAAGCTAAAAAAGTCGAAATTCCAAATCTACTACATGGACTCGACGAGTCCATATATGAACTCGACGAGTTCGCGGGTCTATTGGCAAATTTTTGGGGATTTTGACTAAAATTGGGTTAGAATAATTACCAAAACCGTTTTTGACTAATAAAATCCGATTTTTATTATTTGGTAATGATTATCCTCATCCAATTAGTAATTGTCAAACTTTAAGATAATTATTAGTTTATGTGATAAAGATAATTATTTGTATTTTTTGATGTGAATTATCTTGGCATAAATTGAATCAGGTCAAATTTAGATAATGACATATTATTTGATTAATTAAATTATTTTAATTTTGATATAGAAGCTTTTGAAAAGTTTTAAAACTTGCCCTCAAGTTGTAACGTCCTCAAAATTCAAAGCCAAAAAATTCTTTTTTAAATAAGTTATTACATAAATCATCAGTATAAAAACATTCATAATCAGGCCCGATTTTAACGGGGGCAATAGGGGCAGCCGCACAGGGCCTCCAAAAAATTAGGGCCCGAGTTTTAATTAATTTATATATTTAATAACTAAATATATATATATGAATTTATTCGTAATATTACATAAAATTTATGTAGTTCAATTAGCAAAGACCTCTCCATATGTAAAAGGGAGGCGGGTTCAAATCTTCTTCACTGCATTTTGACTTTTTAAATTAGAGTTACATATTTGCCCATTTCTTTTTGCTATATATTTCATAAACAATCCCTCCTTGTAATATATTTAACAAATCAGTTTTCAGAAGTTACATAATTGGCCCTTAAACTTTTTATAAATTTCCATATGTTCATTTTTAATAAATTTATTTACTTTTAAGTTACAATTCACCGTTTAAGTTTGTTTTCCTTATATATTAAAATTTTTTATTCAGGGCCCTATTTTCCTTCTTAGCACAGGGCACTTAAAATCTACCAGCCGGCCCTATTCATAATAATATCTCGTGTCAAACCAAAGTGTCAGTAATCAAAACATATTATCATAAAATCATATCAGAGTGTAATCCCAAAGATCTCATGTGCGGAAAACATAGTGTGATACGCTGCGATCGAGCCGACTCATTTCCTTGAAAACAAAGTACCTGAAACCACAACTGAAAAGCCGTAAGCACGAAGCTTAGTGAGTTCCCCAGATACCACATACCATACAAACCAACTGATCTATACATGCCACAGATAGCCAAGAGCCATACATATCCAACATATCCATAATCAAGTAAGGTGCTATGTGACAAACATAGTCTTGCTAAGGTGCTATGTGCCAAACATAGTCTTACTAAGGTGCTATGTGACAAACATAGTCTTGAGGTTATGCCACGGGCCGCACGTGGTCTTCCTGGTCAAGCCTGGGGCCACTCCATGGGTCTTACAGACAAGTGCCAAGGGCCACCCCCTGGTCTTTCATGCAAGTATCACAAAGACAACTATACATACTACTCTATTAGGCTACTCCGCATATAGTGTTCCAAGAGCCACCTTCTGGTCTTTCATACACAATAGCATACAGTGCACCAGGAGCCACCTCCTGGTCTTTCATACATATTGCCTAGGGCTAACCCCTGGGTCTTCCTATCATAGATAATAACATACGGTGTGCCAGAAGCCGCTCCTGGCCTTTCATGCGTAATGCCTAAGGCTAATTCCCAGGACTTCCTGTCATAAATACACTAAATGGCCGACATTGTGGCCGTAGATCCATACAAACAGTAAGGAGACTCAACTCGTACTGCTGAACTTCGCTAATAATCCTCTGGCTGCTGTCCGAAAACTCTCTGAACCACTACTCCACTAGCTCCCCAAGCTACTAATATTAACATAACACTTAGTTCCAGACTGAACTCTAGAAGTCAAACTAAGTCAACTCTGGTCAAAGTCAAAGCCCTGGTCAAAGTCATCATTCCAGTTGACTCGACTCGCCGAGTCAACTCATAGACTCGCCGAGTTTTTAAACTTAGAAACTCTCAAAATACTACTCAACTCGCCGACTCACCCCAAGACTCGACGAGTCACCACTCAACTAACTAATCTACGTCTTAACTAGAAAAGGTGGAGGTTCTACGATCAGACTCGCCGAGTCTAAGAATAGACTCGCTGAGTCCAAGGCAATCTTCAACAGACTCGCCGAGTCCATGCTCATGTTCATACAACTCGCTGAGTACACCCATGTGACTCGCCGAGTCTATTCAGCTCTCAATCCATACAGTGGCTTTTCGAGCCTTGAAGGGGCTCCAACCCATAAATACACTCTTCTAAAGTCTAACCCCCACGTAAAGTTGCAAACTTTACGTGAAACCAAAGAGCCAAAGGCCCAAAACACTCTAGGGCTAGGGTTTAAGACAAAAGGGCTTCACCACTAACTCATTGACATAAGCTTTATGACCTTCTGGACCTTTACAACCC